CACAAAATTTTGTTTCCCTTTTCTATAGAGGATTCGCACTCAAGTTTCATTATCTCTGCATGTCACCTCACTGCCTGCTAATATTCTTATGTTCTCCTTACATGTCAGTTATTTCCAGTTTAAAAAGTCAACTTTCTTAAGATACTTAGTCACCTACCTCTTACAACCACGAGTGTAGGACTTTATGTGTTGTGTTATAATAATGACTTAATTTCTGCAGTGTTTCATCTCCCAAGTTCTCTGGCTCTTCTGGTGGGATGTCTTCTCTCAGCTGTTCTTGATGCCCTCGACTTTGTGTCATGAGCAGTGTCCAAGACTTTGTGCCAGTGTCACTAGGTATGATGCTGTTCCTCAGAAGCTTCCCTCCGAAATAACTCCCCTCCAAATTGACAATTCTCCATTTAAACATAGCTTGTTATTGCTTCCCTGTTACTTAGTTCATACGGATTTCATAATTCCGGTCTTAATCCTTATCTTCTCCAGGCACACAGTATTTCTCATAGGACCAAAAATAGCTTGCTCAAATCTGTTTTCTTGCCCAAAAACTTATGATTAGTCTTGCACTTAATTTCAGTGCATGTTGTGGAGAACATCCTAATGTGCCTGCAGTCATCTGAATTTCAGGGGTTTCTTAAAGCACACATCTTGCTGCTGTTCAGGGAAACAATATCATCTCAAACACAGTAGATTTACGTGTGTACTTCATATGGATGAAATGTCCCTCAAACTCACTGGAAATAGTGAATAAATGTTCATCTTTAGTGGAGCTAAACTCTAAAGAGCAGGGGAAAGAAAGACCAGGAGTAATTCCTGTTCATCTTATTTCTGCATTTATTAGAAGTCCAGTTTAGATAAAGTGGTCAACAGTTTAGTACTACTGTGGATTTAAGAAGAGCTAGAGTGGATGGAGGATTAAGTTTTATGTCTTCTCTGTTAAATGAGAGGAACGGTTCTTAATGCTCAGAGAAAAATTGTGTTAATTAAAAAAGCACCATTTGCGTTCCGTCTTTCAATATGTGATAGTCTTGCTATAATAAAGTAGGTTGGTTTTGGCTTTTGTGTATATGTAATAAGAACTTTCCTTTTTTATTACACCAGTAAATCACAGCGAATACAATGATTTCAGAGCTTGCAATGCAAATTACATTCTCTGCCATGAAAATAAAGCATTGCCTTTATTCTTATATCTTTCTCATATTTTTTTAAATTCCTGCTTGCAGTTCAGAGTTCCTCAGAGCATGATTAGATTATTAGCATTTCTTGCCAGCTTGCAGTTTCAGCTGGGATGAAAAGAAGCAAGCAGAAGTTCTTGCCAACTCTTGCATTAGTTGTGCCATAAGAATCATTCAGAAGACAGCAAACTATTCAGGGAAGTCACAAAGTCATGCAATATGAAAAAAAATGTTGTGCCTCCATGTATTATGTTGAATTTAAGACAGCTTCTCCCATTCCCTGCCTTCGGTGAACGTGAAGTGGTTGTATCATGCCAAACTAAGTGTTCATTTGGCAAAATAGTCTCTCTCTGCAGTAACCACTAGCTGAGACAGGGGTGTAGGGCAATAAGATGTTGTGATACATCCTCAGCTGGAGCTCCAGGAGTTCACAGCAATGGTTTAAGTCTCCCACTAAGCTGTTGGCTTGCTCTTTGAAGACATCCAAAATTTTACCATCAGCAGATTGCTGTGCCAGTAAGATCTGTGCTTGAGCTATGTATTTCTTTTTCTGATTTTGAGTCTTGAGTGCATTCTTGTAGGTGTCATGGTTCTGTATGTGAGAAGAGATGGTGACCATTCCTGTCCATTTTCCTTATGGTGCTCACTTACACTGACTTTATTGATCCCGGGCTTGACTCTCTTTGGATTACTCCCTTTTACCCGAGTCATGTATTCATTTAATGATCCATAGGTGTGATCATGTGGTGGCCTTGTTGGTACCTTTGTATTCACATTGATGAAAAACTCGACATGAGCCTGCAATGTGCACTCACAGCCCAGAAAACCAATGGAATCCTGGACTGCATCAAAAAGGAGCATGGCCAGCAGGTCAAGGGGGGTGATTCTCCCCCTCCACTCTGCTCTTGTAAGATCCACCTGGACTGCATACAGTTTTGCTGTCCCCAACATAAGAAGGACATGAAACTGTTGGAGCAAGTCCAGAGGAGGGCCATAAAGTTGGTAAGAGGTACGGAGAGACGCTGAGAAAGTTGGGGCTGTTCAACCTGGAGAAGAGAAGGTTGTGTGGAGACCTCACGGCAACATTCCAGTGTGTGAAGGGGGCGTTCAGGGAAGCCAGAGAGGGACTCTTCATCAGGAACTGTAGTGATAGGATAAGGAGTAATGGGTGCAAAGTGAAAGAGGGGGAATTTGGGCTGGATATTACGAAGAAATTCTTTACTGAATGTGGAGAAACAGTAGAACAAGGCTGCCCAGGGAGGTTGTGAATGCCCCAATCCTGTCAGTGTTCAAGGCCAGGTTGGATAATGCCTTGAGCAACCTGGTTTAGTGGGAGGTGTCCCTGCCCATGGCAGGGGGGGGTTGGGACTAGGTGTTCTTGAAGGGGCCTTCCAACCCTTAACATTCTGTGATTCTGTGATTGATTTCAGATGGGACATCACAATATTGACAGGGTACCTGCCTACAGCCTTCAAGATTCAGGTGCACTATAACCACAACATGTAATGATATTTCTGATCCACTCTAGTCTTGTCCTCAAGCTACTTGCTTTTCCTTTCATCCCTACTGAACCTCAGTGTGACATGTACACCAAATTGCATACTGTTTAACTAGGTTCTCTTTCCAGAATCCTAACAGCTTGCACTCAATCTGACATTCTTCAGGTATAGTTAGGACTGTGTTCTTCACATACACTTTGCATTTATTTACACAGAATTTATTACCTTGCTATTTAAAATCATGAAAACTTTTACTGGAAGGTTTACTTTTAGCATACTAAGTAATTCTAATTTATACTCAGTAAATCTTGCCACTTCCCAAACCACCTCCTTTTTCAGGTCACTTTGGACTGCATTTACCAATTCAGGCTCTCACACAGATCCATTTTCCAGGAAATTTAATCATTCTTCCCTTTGCCTCCTGGGTTTGACCACTTTGCTTAGAAATTTCAAAGCAAAATTACGATCAAATTGAATTGCTTTCAACTAGATGTTAATAATTTGAGTTGTAAAAAGACATTTTCGTACTGCAGTATTGAAAACAAATTTCTGCATTGCACCAGGATTAAAACGTGCTCTCTTCAGGAAGAGTTCATGATTTCAGTGTCATATTTATTCTGAACTGCTTTCTCCAAATTGAGATCTATTAAAAGTTTTCAGTAACATAATTGAAAATGGATTAGCACAAGTTTTTGTATGTGTGAAAATACTATAGTGCCGAGTTGATTCAATTTTTTTCATTGCTGCTGTTAATCTGTTGTTGATTATGAAAAGCAAAATCATTAGTATAATGTAGTACATCCTCTCTCTGTGGTTTCAGTGGAGCACATCAAATAAACCAAGGCATCTGAAATTGGAATGTTTGAAAAATGCAGTATTATGTTAATAGAATATTTCTGTTAAATGGGTGCTGCTAATAAATCTGCTGTGAAGCTGGTTTAGTAGTAAGTTGAGGGTTACAGAAGAATTTGCACAGTTGGTGGACAGCATTTAGCTTTGCAGCAATAGCTTGTTGCCTGTTACAAATATTTTAGATAAAATACCGTATACTACTTTCAATAAAACTTACTGTGAAATATCATGTCCCATAAGATAAATGTGTGAAGGTAGTTAATGGTTGTTTCATTTATGGTTAAATACAATTCTTCATTAGAGGATTCAGGAAAGTGTGGAGTGTCAGGCTTTGTGAAAAAGGATGCTTATACCATTTAGCAACAAAACAACCTCCCCTTCTTGCTTTTATTTTCAACATTGCGCATTTTCTTTCTTTTCCTATGAGGGGACTTTACTATAAAATCCTAGACATGAAAACCATGGCTTCAACTTTTTCCAGAAAAAGTGGAGAATGCAAAAGCATAGTCACCTTGCAGAGCTCACAGGAGACAGCTTTAAAGTATAACAGGCCAGGAAGGAAGTGTACCTTACAACTGGAGAGGTTGAAATCTAACCAGATAAGCTGTTCTTTTATCATAATTCAAAATGTAAATTATAGAGGGAAAAGAGAAAATTGGTTTTTTTAAGAGCAAATATCATCACCATATTTGCCTAAGCAGAGCCATTTGAGGTCTGAATGGGATGGGAGGGGCGTTCTTAAAGTTTTGTATTAAAGTTCTGGTTTTGAAGTGTGACAATGTTTATTTCTCATACATGCTAATGGTTTTAAATAACTTTCATGGTTCTTAGATTTGTTAGGAGTTCTTTTATGTTTATTGCCCTATGCTTAGTATTACTTCCACTAGCAAAACTCCTGTTCTTGACAGAATTGAAGTAGAACAAGATGAATGTTTTGAGTGCGAGACATTATGCAATCAGAATTTATGTCTCTTGATTTCTTCAGTGAATGAAAGACAAACTTCAATACCCATCTCAAAATCTGATTGTAGCTCAAGCTTACAACACCTCATTGAATAACGTTTTCAATCTAATTAGCACATATTCCTTATGTATTAATTACAGACCAGTCTGTTTGCAGATTAAAAAAACAGCCTTTTTTCCTTTATCTCCTACTCATAGGAAATAATTCTATTTCTCTGGAGTTAGTAGGTGTTATCTTAGCTCTGCAGTTAGATGAAGTACAGATTAAACCCAAGATACCTGCCCTTTCACTTAGGCAGAGGACAGGATTTGCTTACTGTGGGCACTACTGGAACAGGCACCAAAATAGTGTAAATATTACCTGCTGAATGCTTTAAAGTTCTATGCCTTAAAATCACCGTGATCTATATAAAAATTGGTAATACTCAGCGTGATGCCAATGTGAGTCCTTTTGTGAGTAAAAGCACTTCCACTTAATGTCTCTTTTTCCCCCTACACCCCTCTCTCTTTCTAGATGCAGCAGTTGTTCCACGAAAACTATGAACACAACCGCAAGGGTTACATTCAAGATCTTCACAACAGCAAGATTCACACAGCCATAACACTTCATCCAAACAAAAGACCAGCCTACCAATACAGGCTGCACAATTACATACTGAGTCGCAAGATTTCCGACCTGCGCTATCGGACCATCCAGCTCCATCGGGAAAGTGCCCTGATGAGCAAGCTCAGTAACACTGAAGTAAATAAGGAGGATCAGCAGCTGGGAGGGATGCCATCTTTCAATCATTTCCAGCCACGTGAAAGGGGTGAAGTCATCGAGTGGGAGTTCCTGACCGGAAAATTCCTGTATTCCATGGTGGAGAACCAGCCACCCCGGCAGAGCCTGAGCAGCGTCCTGCGGGCTGCACTGGATGACACCGTGATGCAAGTGATGGAAATGATAAACGAGAACTCTAGATCCAGAGGAAGGCTCATTGATTTCAAGGAAATACAGTATGGCTACCGCAGGGTGGACCCTCTGCACGGAGTGGAGTACATCCTGGATTTGCTGCTTTTGTACAAAAGGCACAAAGGAAGGAAAGTTACAGTTCCAGTGAGACGCCATGCTTACCTTCAGCAATTGTTTAGCAAACCTTTCTTCAAAGAAGCAGAAGAGCTGGATGTAAGAAGCTTGCTGGAGGATTCCAACACTGACACTCAGTCTTTCTCTTTCCTTTCAAATTCTTTAAAGATTTTTTCCTCATCGTTCCAAGGCACCAAAGACATTGGGGGACACAGTGACAAGAAAATACATATCCTCGTCCCTATCACGGGGAGATTTGATATTTTCTCAAGATTTATGGATAACTTTGAGAAGACTTGTCTGATTCCCAGGCAGAATGTAAAGTTGGCAATAATTCTCTTCAGTTCCGAGCCAGGCCAAGACTCTAGCAACCACATAGAACTAATGAAAGAATACAGCATTAAGTATCCTAAGGCAGATATGACCCTGATTCCAATGGCAGGCAAGTTTTCTAGAGGTTTAGGTCTTGAGATGGCCTCATCTCAGTTTGACAATGGCACTTTGCTGCTATTCTGTGATGTTGATCTGGTATTCACACCAGACTTCCTCCAGCGATGCAGAGATAACACTATTCAGGGAGAACAGGTTTACTATCCTATCATCTTCAGTCAATATGATCCAAAAGTAATATATGGAGACAACCCTCCAGCTGACAGTAGTTTTGTTTTCACAAAAAGAACTGGATTTTGGAGGGAGTATGGATTTGGAATTACCTGCATTTACAAAAGTGATCTGCTTACTGCTGGTGGATTTGATACCTCTATTCAAGGCTGGGGACTTGAGGATGTAGACCTCTTTACTAAAGTGATAACATCTGGCTTGAAGGCTTTCAGAAGTCAGGAAGTAGGAGTTGTCCATGTTTTTCATCCAGTTCAGTGTGACCCCAATTTAGATCCAAAACAATATAAAATGTGCTTAGGGTCCAAAGCGAGTACATTTGCCTCTACCATGCAGCTCGCTGGACTCTGGCTACAGAAACATTTGGGTGTCAGGTACAACTGGACTCTGTCCTGACATCTCAGCCTATTTGGCCTTTTTAGGGGAGTTTACCTCATTATTGTCTTATTTGATTTTGCTGTTGTAGATTTAAACTCCCTCCTCATTGTCTTCCAAAGACTGTTGACCTCAAACGGGATGACTCTGCTGTTCACTGATGTTTCTTATACCTACTGAACTGGTGAGGTGAATTCCTTCATATTTCCTTTATTTGAAATTCAGTCAAGTCATGGAAACCATATAAGCCCATGGAGCATATCCATCACAAGAGACTGTATCAGAAGAATGTTTTCTTTTAGCTTTCAGATGCAGTATCATCCCTGTTGCATTTCTCAGATTTGATGTGATACAAATATTTACCGGTGAAGGTACCACAAAAGTGCTTTATGCTTCTTCTGGGGATGGAACTCTATATGATAAACTTGAGTTTTATAATTTATATGAGGACTTATATGTATAAATGCTACTTTTCTTCATCTTTAGAATTTTTAAAGTAAATGAATAACTATAATTGTACCTTTATTTTTTAAAAAGAGAGTAAAGCCGAGGAGCTACTTGCAAATACAACTGGTACTGGCTACCAAGGTTCTTAAAAGTCTTATTATTAAAACAAACTCCTCATCGTTGTTCAATCAAAGTGTAAATGAACTTTGTTTTCACAACAAACAGGATTTAATCAAATATTCATATACACTTTAGAAGATTTGTGAGCCAACATCCTTCATTTGCAGGCAAGAAGTAACTATGACTTAAAATGGTCATGTATGATTAAGTGCAGGCATACAGTATTCTTATTTTGAAACAGTATAAGTTGCTCTTTCTCTTTTTAGAATGAGTCTCTAATACATAATTTTCTTTTACATTCCTTTCATAAAGCTGCACTTGATACAGAGTGTTAGAAGTCAAAGCTCTATTTTTTATTTTTTTTTTTACATTTTCCATGAGTTGGTACTCAGCAGCAACTTGTTGTTAAAATAGTTGTAGAATAATTATTTAAGTTTCAAAATTCACTATTGCTGGTCAAAGTTCCTTGCCAATGTATTTATATTAGTGGAGATTATAAGACTGTGTTCAGATATATGTCTCCAGACAGTCTGAAGTTGTCATATGGTGGATTCATGAAGTATTTAAAGGGATACCAACAGAAGAAATAATAAAATAAATTTCCAATTTTAGGGAAATGTTTATATAGGGATATATATGTGTACATGTGTTGGTGTGCGTGTGTGTATATCCCTATATACATATAGATATATAGAGACAGTAATTTCAAAGTAGGTTCTTTTTTTCAGTTCAGGCAGTGATTTGCTACAATCGTTGTTATTTTTGCCACATACTTGGAACATTTCATGTTATACTGTGGTAAGAACTCAGAGACATCCAGGAAACCATCACAATTCAGCTAAACTTAAAATAGTGCAATGGGTACATCCAACAGCCTCAGTACCCTTGACTTTTAACTATATTTCAAATGGATCTGGGCAAGAAAAAGTTGTAACTGGAACAGTTTCAGCTATAGCCAACAACTTGTGCATTTCCTTTCAGAAAAAAAACAACTAAGAGATTGTAATTCACTGACACATCTATTTATATAGGATATCCTGATAAATTTCCTAAGGCATGAGGAGGGTGTTTAGGTCTCTAATCTGTGGTTCTCTGTTCTGGATTCATCATGCAAGGAAAAAAGGCAACCCTGAGGAGGGTTGGGTAAACTCAGAATTAAAGAAATAAAAGTACCTTGTTGTATGCTTAAAAATAAGGCCATTCCCTTGCCTTGGAGAGGGTGGTAATTGTGGTAGATGGGAACAGATAGAGGGTAATTCATGCTTGTCTACCCTGCTCAAGGAGAGCTCCTGGCTTCTTGTTCTCCTGGAGCTCTTGCCTTCCTTGCCCAGTATTGTTAGCTCAAACGTTTGTCAAAAGTGAAATTCAATGCCTCATGAAATAATTCACGGAAACCGCTCTTTAAATTGAGTGCAAAGGTCACACTTTTTCAGTTAGAAAGCCAAGAACAAGGAACGTGTCGTTTATTTGATCAATCTCAACTAACCAATGCAACTCACATTGTAAATACCAAAAACTGCCTGTTGATAAATGTTTGTGATGATTTCATGAACAAGAAAAAAACTAATTATTTAGAAAGATATCTAAGGAAATCATTGTCTACTGGGATGTATTCCAGTGCTTATTTCAGTTACTTAATTTAGTGGCCAGAATGTGTTTGCTCAGCTCAAAGTAAAACAGTAGATTAGAACAAGCAATGAAATCAATCATTCAGTGGGGATAAAGAGGTATACAGAGGGCTTGCAGGATCAGGTCCTACATGATATAAGCAAAATGCTAGTATTTACCAGTAAAAATATTTATTTAGTGTCTGACTGATTCATTTGTTTATATGATGAATTACTTTGTTAAAAACCTGATTATAAATGTTTATTATGAAATATTGCATTGTCTTTTGAAATAACTATCCTGAGATAACTTGAGAACTTGTGTTAGTTTGTCTAAGGAATAATATGCCTTCTAAGAAGATCATATTAAAATTAAAAAAAAAAGCACAAAAGTGTTAGTGTAATGTTACATATGTATAGATTAAGATGGGAATGTCTGTGCTAATCAACTGTTTGCTTTTGTCTAGTCTGAATCATAATCTTGATTGTAAAGTGAAATTTCTGTGTGTATGATGTCCATTTGTAAACGTGTGACTAGTGAATTCACAATAGAACTTAAAGACCAATTTTTCCCCAAACATCCTTACCCTGGGAATAGATTTCCTGGTTTCGTTGCTGGGAAGTGGGTTGTGGACTGCTTACCCTTTGGCTTTTCAGACACTGCTGTTCTTAAAAAAAAATAAGTATCTCAGCATTCAGCACCTGTAAACTTTAGAAATCCCTGTCCCACCGCATCATGATATGTTGTCCCATTCATTAATTTAACAGAGCATTTGCACCTCCTGGGTGAAGGGGAAACAGCAGGTTGGGCTTTCTAAAGGCTTGCTAAGTGTATTCTGCATCAAAGTACTAGTTCTCAAAGAAAGTTCTCAAAGTTCTGAAGAAAAACAGAAAGACCAGCCACAGGAGTTGTCACCTTCTGCCCAAGTCATCTCCTTGCTGCTGCCTGTGCTGCCAGGTGCCTCTCCTTGGAGCAGTGAACAGGCAGGGCAAGCCAGCACAGGACAAGAGCTGTGCTTGCTGCCAGCAGCTGCTTTTGAGAAGCAAAAGGGCCACGTTAATCAGTGTTTGGGAGGAGCGAAAGGAGGGTGTCAAACTGGGGATTCATTGAATTGAGGTGGTAGGTTGTCTTATGCACATCATATTTCTCCCTGTCCCCCCGGGGAAAGGGAGCCTGGTCCCACACCTCTTCCCTGTTTGCTCTGAATGGGCATTGTGAGGGAAGGGGCAAAACCATCACTCCTTCCAGTTTGTGGGGCTCATGGGCCTGGACCATTCCCTTGGGTTCCTAGCGTATCATGGGACATGTGGGGGAAAAGGTGCCAAATGTCCTTTCCAAAAAGCAGTACAGAGAGAGGCACGTTCTGCACTCACCAAAGACCAGAAGGATGTGCACAAAATTGCCTTTGGGAGCCTTTGCACTAGTGTGCGCTTAACAATGCCTCAAGACTCTTGCAAAAAATTACGATGCTGGTAAAATGACTCATGGGAGCGTACTGCACATCCCGAGGGCCTGTGGAGACTTGTGAGTAGCGTGAGGTAACGACCGCTTTTTTATAAACTTTTAAACAAATAGGCAATTTAAACTTCTTTTCGGTTTCTTAACTAATCACCACAATTACTTCTTGAGATGTAGTTTGCTACACTGAAGGTATTGCCCCAAAGAATGATACCAGCTTTAAGATACAAACAAAACACATGTGCAGATTATATCTGATTTTCCTGCAAGTTGAAATCAGTTACAATTTTTTGAAAAACGTAAGGACTAAGAATTGCTGAGCCACTTGCTGACTGGGGAAAAGATTTTTGTCTCTGATCTGTTTTTAAAAAGGGAATCAGATGAGAAAAAAACAAAAAATGCCTGTAGTAGATACATGTGAAAAATTAGCCATGATGTTATGGTAGCAGTGATAGTTGTGGTCCTAAACTGCTGCACAATGAGGTGTTTCACCAAGTCTAACTATTTACAATAAGTGAATATCACAGAGGGTGGTTATAGTCTGTCATACGTCTGTAAGTAACATATAAAGTTGTCCGTTTTCAATCCTTTCATGTCTTAGAATAATTTTCTTTTTGTTTTTTTCTGTCAGCATTTATTCATTTCATTAATGAAATGACTTGTCATGACTCAAATCTCACTTTCCTGTTTTCCTTTTTCTTGGGTCTTTTCATTTGCAGTATATATTACTACAGTATTGAAACTTTTTGAGCTAGCATGATATTTCTGTTATGGTTTTATGATGTCATTGCCATATAAAACTGCTGAACTAAAATATTTTACTGAATGAGTTTCCAGTGGTAATTCAGATTGTTTCCATTTTCCTGTCACTGTAAGTTAAAAGTGTTCTGAATATTATTACTTCACCTTTTCCTCTGGTCTCCTTCATACCAAAATCCCACCAAAGCAAGAAAATGCAAAGACTTTGGAAATTAAAAAAACTCTGTAATGCTTAAGTCTGTAAGAACAGAATCTGGGGATTTGCTTGATCTCCTTTTTTTTTTTTCCTTCAAGTCTTTTATCTAGAATTTCAGAATCATACTTATCAGTTCCATAGTTTCAATAAAATAAATAATGGTTTTTAAGATGTAAGACAGCACATATATGGTCTACGTATTAGAAACTGTAATTTCACATCCTTGTTTTTTAGGCCCCTTATTACTGAACAGATGTTTGCTATTTATATGAATTTTGGAGATAAATTAAAAGCATCCTTGATTCAGTGTTTACTTAGTGCTTAACCACGTAGGCAGAGATCCAAAGATGTACTATATACTGCAAGCTGAGTTTTGTTGCTCTCACTCTTGATTAGGGTAATATGAAGCAATAAACGATGCTTATTTTTCACGTCTCCATACACTGCTGGCTAAAGAAAAGGTAAGCTAACTAAATGCTTTGAAGATGTTGGTTGAACTGTGGGTGACCAGGAAGAGAACTGCTGTGTGTAGTTTAGCCTCAAAACCAAAACTCAGATCTGCTCCCAGGTAAGGACAATTCACACATAAGAGGTAGAAGCCTGAGTCTGTACAAATCATCATGACATCGGGGGGTTCCACCTTAAGGCTTTTAGAGTGTGATTGCTAGGAGCTGGCACAGTGTAGTCTGAACACAGTGCTACCATCACTTCAAGAAAAAAGTGAGGAATTCAGTCAAGTGAGGAATGCAATAAAAGTGTTTCTTGTGTGACAGTGTAGATAGGAAGGATGTAAATTCAGAGAGGTATGTGTCTCTTTTTATGTTAAGAGAGTGGAGCATAAAACTTGTTTTGAAGTAGAACTTTGCTTTACTTTCTTCCTAAAAGCTTTCCCCGTTGCTTTGCATTCCATTTGTACATGCAGAGACAAATGGTGGGACTCTCTGGAGCAGTACTGAAACTGTAAATCTCCCACACGTTATTTGTTCTGACCAGCAAGACCAAGTTTTGTGAAGTGGTAGCTGAACTGGCAATTTTTAGTTTTTCCTCTTCTCTTTTTAGACATGACACACTTTACTGTTACTTAACTGGGATTGGGATCCTTGACAGCTTCGTGTCAAAGATGCATCAGTGTTTTGTGCCTAAGATGTTTTAGTCTTTCTGTTGCAGCTTCATAAATTGCGCTGTTACGTGGCACATCACTGCTTTAAATGAAGAAGTTCCCTTAAGCAGAGGCTTCTGGACAGTAGTATACAGCTGATGTGACACTGCAGCCACAACTATGTGGCTGAAATAAAGTGCATTCACCTATGGTCATTTGTTTGCTGCATTCAGACAATGGTTTTGCTTGGTGGGAAATTCAGAATGAATACGAGTTATGACTGAATATTTTCTTTGACAGAGAGGAGCAAATCTGTTTAACTGGGGCCAAGTGATGAACCATTCCTCCATCATGTGCTGTTATTGGAGCATATCCAGAGACTATAGGTGCTTTTAACTGAACAAGGTGTAGGGAGATGTCTGTGGTAAAACTGAATGGGAAGCACTGTGTTTTGCACTCCAAAACTGCTGGTAGCAGAAACTTTGACTTATAAAATTATATCAGTTACAACTTCTGCCACAGTCAGCAAATGTTTAAGGGACAGACACAAGGGCAGATCCATGGATTTTGCCCTCTGGTGTGAAAGAGACCAGAGAGATCGAGATTTGGCCTGGAACACCCTTAGAAAAGAGCCCACTCTGAAAGAAACATGGGGCTGGGCAAAGAAGGGAGCATGCAAAAAACCAAAGAGAAGATTCTCTTTCTTTTTTTTCTTTTATGCTTGGCATGGTGCTGTACTCATGAGGGAGCTACCATGTCTGCCTGGATGTAGCTCAGCACCAGGCTAAAGAAGCACTGTAAAGAGAAAGCATATTGTGACAGGAGCAGATAGTGGTGGGCAACAGAAAAGAAAGTGTATGGTAAATCATGTAAGGAGTCAAGAAACTAGACTTTTTTTTTGCTTGTGAAGTCAAAAGGTAATGTGTACATAAGCAGTTTTACTAGCCTTGATGTGTAGGGAAGAGTGGGTAATTAAAGGACATAAATTTGCAAGGAAGGAGAAGGTACAGTGTAGAAAACAGTCCCTGTGTAAACACAAAATTTAATTAAAGTAGACATTAAAGTATATGTGAGAAAATACCACAAAAAATGGAGGGAGCAGAAAGAAAAGAAGAACTTAAAGAGGTTTAATAAAAAACAACTGAAGGACTAGCACAGATGTAACCATTAAGCACTGGGTACAGAATGCTTTGCAGTGCCATTCGAAAAACATAGGAAACATTTTGGAAGCACTGCACCCCACTGCTTTCCCTGGGTGTGGCTGAGGGAGCAATTGCCCAGCTAATATTAAAACATGCCTGCTTTTGTTTACTTTTTATCAGAGCCTGAAATACCTGCATTTGTTTTCCTGTTGGTTTGGCTCCACCCTGTGTGATAAATATCTATTCACGTTGTATTACTGGGATTTTCTTTTTCTGGGCAGAGTCAATAAGATGGGAGACCTCTCTTTAATACTAACAGTTGAAGTTTAGTGGTAGAGAAATGGCAGTACCAATGCTAACACCCATCTGACTTGATTTTTTTTTTTAAATAAAATGTCCTCCAGTTACAAAAAGCTGGCACTCAGCAGGAACTTTTGCAGTCTTGTCCCACTTCTCTTTCCCTTACACTTTCAGTTCCTAGCATCTGCTGTACTTGGGTACTGATGACAGATTTAGAGAACTAAGGGAATCTGTATCCTTTTAATATCACCATAGCAAGCAATTTAATTTTGCACACAAATTTTGTTGTGAGCTTATGGATTTAACCCAAAATGATATATCCCAGATAAAATTATTTTCCAGAACCTTTATAGTTTATTCATACAAATATGAAGTTAGACACTGTAGTGACATCACTGGTGTGTAAAATTGCTGAACTATAGCAATTGTTGAATTAGTTCCCAGGTCTGTTGCAAGGCATTTACATTTTCCATTTACCTGTCACTTCTCTTTAGACTATCCTGAATTTTATTACCACTTCCCTCAGTTTCTTCTCATGACATCTTGAGTTTATTGCCAGAAACAGGAACACAAAACCTTTCCAGATTTAAAATGCATCTCCAAAATTAGGTCTGAACCATACA